GACACTGATTCATTAATTAGATATACTGATTTCTTGAGATTTAGTAAGAGATTAACTTTCTAGCAGTCGTTTCGATTAACCTCCGATGAAGGTTGGTTAGGGGTTCGTATTTATTTACAGATCATTTAGAAGTCTCTTGTAGTTTCACCACTTACATCAAAAGCATCATTTGTGGGTACGAAGAGAGTAACAGCAGCACCGGCATGACGCAGACTCTCCGCCAGTCCAGCCTTGGTCAAGTAGTCTACAAAATATGTTGCACCCAGGTCTTTAGCTGTGTCCAGTACATTGTTCATCGGGTTCACTATCGTATAATGAGAAAAAAAGTTTGTACTAATGTCCACATCCATTCACCTTTTGACATTAGGCACTGATTACGTTGTTTATGGGGTTTTAAAAGTTTGATCTTTTATTATTATTTGTCTTACAATTAAAAGGTTTATTTCAGTATATCTAATTAATGAATTAGTGTCGGTCCTCTAAAGCACACACAAGTATGTGGTTCCTGATCACAGTTAACACACACAATACATACAAGTATGTGGTTCCTGATCACAGTAAACACATACAACTCATACAAGTGTGTGGTTCCTAATTACAGTTAACCCATACAACTCATACAAGTGTGTGGTTCCTAATTACAGTTAACCCATACAACTCATACAAGTGTGTGGTTCCTAATTACAGTTAACACATACAACTCATACAAGTGTGTGGTTCCTTATTACAGTTAACACATACAACTCATACAAGTGTGTGGTTCCTCATCAGTGTAGTTTTCTGATAAGTACAGCTAATTTCATATAACTTCAATTAATTTTTCTCTGATGTGCGACATCTTGTATTGTATGTGTTAACTGTGATCAGGAACCACATACTTGTATGTATTGTGTGTGTTAACTGTGATCAAGAACCACATACTTGTGTTTGTTGTATGTGTTAACTGTGATCAGGAACCACATACTTGTATGTATTGTGCGTGTAACCTGTGATCAGGAACCACATACTTGTGTGTGTGTTGTATGTGTTAATTGTGTAGCTTTGTGCTTAAAAACAAACAAACATATTAGTTTTTATTATTACTTATTAACCATTAAGGTGTGAAACGCCGACATAAAAAAAATACAAAAATGTTTTGGACTTTCTACTTTGAATGTATTTTCATGCTTCGTTAAATCTGTTTCTTTTAAGTTTTGCCTCTTAGTCCGTTAAGGTCTCGAAATCAAGATGTTTCAATATTCAGCATTCAGGTAAAGGAATACTGTGAAAGTTAACATGCATGTGCACGAATGTATGTTTTAAGGTGTAAAACATGTTGGCCCATTGTAAACATTTGAAATTAATCTCATTTTTTTTAATCCATTCTTCGTTTGCTTTACAGGCAATGGATTCCACCGAAAAAACAAATTTCTGGAGAGTCTCCAACAGCCCGAATCTCCTTACCTTCTTTACCACATGGCGGGAAGAAAACTCCACACTAGTGACTTTGGAGCAAATTTGGAGGTCGAAAGCCTATTCGACGGACAAAAACTTCGTATCAATCGATACTCCAATGGGGTAAGTTTATTTGTTTTAGAGCAAGGCCACATTGGGCTTTCTCCTGTGTGCTCCGCGGGAAATAAACCCCGGATTTAGCGTTGTAACAACATAGACTTGTCTCACCGGGGGGAACCAACGAGGTAAGAAATTCGAAAGTGTTATTTTTAAATTAAAAAACTAACGTTCACTCACTTTTGTTTTTGTCACTGTATGCTGTGGTATAGATCCTATTTTGGAGGGAGTTAACTTGACCTCCTTTTTGTGACAGAGTTATTGTTGTGGCTTGTCGCCAAATAGAACCAAATCTTGTTTTCCTGGCTCGTTACAGTCTTGGGTGCTTCAGACATTACGTGGCTCACGGAGATAAAAATACTTAGGAGCATTGGTGAGAAGTGAACCATTTACAGCTTTATTTTATACTTGGAAATTATTTAACTGTTTTATTTTCCCGAATACGAAAAATAATATATACAAACACTTCATAAACCACAAACTCAACATTTTTCATCTACTGGGCAGAAGAAAAGTCTCTTTTTTTTTCTAATTATCTCCTCTATTGAAATGAATTTTAATCGGAAAAGAAAATCTTATTTGTTTTAATCAAAAATTGATCTTTTTCATGGCATGCGTTAAAGTCATCCCAGGTTGTCTGTCCTCAAAGAACAAAGACATTTACAACAAAATTAATTTTTTGTTAGTGGTTAACTTATATACTTATAACACATCAGGATTCAGTTTTGTTCGTTAAAATGTACAAGGATTCCTTCTGTGGATGGTCCCCAAGAGCAGTCCAACATTTGTGACTTCGTTTGAGTTTTCAAGTTTCATCAATTACAGCATTTTCCTAAATCCGTGAACACAACCTGTACTGTTAGTTTTTCAAATTGGAAAGATTATCTTTTTGTTGTTGTTGTTGTTGTTGATTATTTTTATCAGTTTCATTGGGGACCTGAATTTCTGGAGGAACCATTCAGAGGATACTTTGTTATATTTCGGTTGTTTCCTTTTGGTTGCTATGTAAGAACCATTCAGAAGTCCTTTTGGTTGCTATGTAAGAACCATTCAGAAGTCCTTTTGGTTGCTATGTAAGAACCATTCAGAAGTCCTTTTGGTTGCTATGTAAGAACCATTCAGAAGTCCTTTTGGTTGCTATGTAAGGTCTTCTGAATGGTTCTCACATAGCAACCAAAATGTCATCTGAATGGTTATTTCTTACATAGCAACCAAAAGGGAACAAAATGTCTTCTGAATGGTTCTCACATAGCAAACAAAAGGACTTCTGAATGGTTATTTTGTTTCCTTTTGGTTGCTATGTGAGAACCACTCACAAGACATTTTGTTTCCTTTTGGTTGCTATGTAAGAAAGAACTATTCAGAAGACATTTTGTTTCCTTTTGGTTGCTATCTAAGAAAGAACCATTCAGAAGGTTATTTGATATCTTTTGGCCACAATTTCCACTAACAATCGCTTAGCTTGTTTCAAAAGCACAGAAGTATTCCTTTAACAAGTTTTTAAAGAACACTTGAATAATTTCTGTGAAAAGTGTCACCTGTTGACATTTTCAAGAATTACTTCAGCATAAAGAATATATTTTATAAGACAGGCTAGTAAGAAACGTTCTCAGTTTCTCAGAGATCAAAGCAGTGTATTCGGTTCTTATGTTACCAGTTAAGGATACTTATTCAATGAGTAAAGCATATTAATATGTGAAACTTAACAGCTTATCGATCATTAGTCTTAGCCCTTACTCCCTCCCCACAGTGGCTCAGCAGTAAGTCTGAGGGCTCAAACTGCTGAAAACCGGGTTTCGTGGTGGGCACAGTACAGATAGCCCATTGTGTAGCTTTGGACTTAGTAACAAATCAAAACAAACGTACACATCTCCTCCTTCAATTTGTATGTCAAATACGAGTAACTGAATTATAGGAGTCTAGGTTTTCGGTTTGAGAACAACAGCTGATATCCCATTGTACGCGATTCCCCCCCTCTCCCCCCAAATATAACAGATTATTGTTCTTAGTTCTATTGTGGTATACTTTTCCCCATGTTCTTAGTTCTATTGTGGTATACTTTTCCCCATGTTCTTAGTTCTATTGTGGTATACTTTTCCCCAGATAATATATATATATCGAAGTAGATATATTAGAATATATTGGATTTTTAAGAACTGCAACTGGACCGGAGACCGGAAGGTCCAAGGTTAGAGCCCCAAATATAACAGATTATTGTTCTTAGTTCTATTGTGGTATACTTTTCCCCAGATAATATATATATATCGAAGTAGATATATTAGAATATATTGGATTTTTAAGAACTGCAACTGGACCGGAGACCAGAAGGTCCAAGGTTAGAGCCGCGATATACTCCGTTGAAGACGCTCTGATTGTTATATATCTGTGCTAGTCAGTCTCGCTATTCGTCTAAAAGTAATCACATAGGCGGCAGGTGCTGGTGACTTGATACCATCCAAATGAGGGATAGCTAATGCCTGACGCTTCGGTTTGGCCCGGCATGGCCAGGTGGCTAGGGCGCTCGACTCGCAATCTGAGGGTCGCGGGTTCGAATCCCCGTCCCACCAAACATGCTCGCCCTTTCAGCCGTGGGGACGTTATAATGTGACGGTCAATCCCACTATTTGTTAGTAAACGAGTAGCCCAAGAGTTGGCGGTGGGTGGTGATGACTACCTGCCTTCCCTCTAGTCTTACACTGCTAAATTAGGGACGGCTAGCGCAGATAGCCCTCGTGTAGCTTTGCGCGAAATTTAAAACAAACAAATAAAAGTTTCTATAACGACAACATGACAGTTATTTAAATAAATTTCGTCTGCTAGGTTTGTTTATTTTAAATTAGCACAAAGCTACACAATGGGCTATCTCTGCTCTGCCCACCACGGGTATCGAAACCCAGTTTCTAGCGTTGTAAGTCCGCAGACATACCGCTGTGCCACTGGGGGTCTCGTCTGCTAGCAGTTTTAAACATTTACTTACAATTTAAAATATTTATTTTTTTATAAAGATGTTGACCGTGAACTGTGGCCCTGTGGTTAGAAAGGATCAAGAAGCTAAGAATGGTATAGTCCACCTGATTGATCAAGTTCTTGTTCCTCCTGGACGAACGGGAATACCAACCATTCCGGAAATTCTCGAGAAAGACGAGAGGTTTCGAAGTTTGGCCCAAACGTTATTTCGGTCTAATCTTGCCAGCGAACTCAGTTACGGAGGTCCCTATACTCTGTTAGCGCCCTCTGACGAATCTTTCCAAAAACTTCCATCCGCTGAAAGAGCCCGAATGACGAACGATCCGGAGGCTAGGCTTGGTGAGTGGTGTTAGGCTTAACTTTTCTTAACATTTCTGTGAACCAGAGATATGGCTTGGCACTGACACACGGGGCTCGTGCCCCAAATCTTTCATCCAAAAAGCAAATAAAAAGGTGCCAAGTTAATTAATGAGTTCCTTTTTTGATTCTCCTATAATGAATACTCAGGAATAAAACTATTTAACAAAATTGTCTTTTTTTTTTTAAGAGGGACTTTGCATTTACTTCATTGTGAAATTGTGATTCTGTTTTTAATCCTAGAAATAAACGAATTAAAAAAATGGTTTGTACTGTCAGTTTCGGTTTTAGTGAACGCTCTTGAAGAAGCTGTAAAAGCGAAACGCTGAGTGTCTAACCAAATAAAAACAACATTCTGGGGTTATAAGGTCGTTTATTTCTAGTATCAAAATGTCTTCTATACACCAGTATGCACTACAGAAATTAAATTATGATACTGTTTTGTTGTTGTTGTTGTTGTTGTTGTTGTTTACAGGCCTCTTAGCTTACCGCTCAGTGACACACGTATAATGCAAAATATGGATTTATGTGTGTCACTGAGCGGTAAGCTAGGAGGCCTATAACATTAAAGTTGAAGGTTTGATCCCCACGGTGGTTACAGCACAAATATGCAGCTTTGCGTTCAAATAATCTCCGAAAACTATAATCTAAACTCTGTTTTTATAAACCTCAAGGTAAACTCTAATTCTGAACTCGTGCCAAACTTACGAGAAAGCCAATACACGATCTCTGTAGTCAAGGGGTTGTGATGTGGAGAAAGGGTTGTTCTGGTGCCAAAAAGGGTTGTTATTGTTGCTATAAAAGTCTTGGTGACGTTACTTCATTTAGATAACTAGGATTCTCGAACACAAATGGCATAGTATTTAAAGGCTATCTATATATGGAACTAGGGCAGAGAAAAGAAGCATTTTTTTTATACGCCCGAAGAAATAATACATTACGCACTTTGTTTTCAATAGGTGGCGCTAAAATTGACGATTTTCGAAATATAATTTTATTAAAACATTCATTATCTAATTGCTTGGGTGCAAAATTATCTAAAGTGGCATAAATAAATAAATTAGTTTCTTAAAATATACAATAGTTATTCGTATTTATGCTTTGTCTAAAAGTCTGAAGAGGGAAGACTTTAGTAACTAATGAATAGAATATCCGCTAATTGACGTGCAGCAGTACTGGGGAAAAAAAAATCTGAGAGTCGCGGGTTCGAATCCCCCTCACACCAAACATGCTCGCCCTTTCAGCCGTGGGGGCATCATAATGTTACGGTCAATCCCACTATTCGTTGGTAAAAGAGTAGCGCAAGAGGTGGCGGTGGATGGTGATGACTAGCTGCCTTCCGCTGCTAAATTAGGGACGGCTAGCGCAGATAGCCCTCGTGCAGCTTTGCGCG